TGTTTTTATAGATGTTGATTGTCTTTTGTGGATGTATCTGCAAAAATACCAATGACCAAAGGTTATCATATTCAGCTTTTTAAACTTTCTATTTCTTCTTCTATTTTTAGTTCTATTTTATGTCCCTTTAATTTTTAATAATGGTGGACAATGAAGTATGAAACAAAAAGGTATTGTCAATTCACAAAAATATTTTCCTCTTCAGTTATTTTACTGCTGAATTTGTGCAATCGTACAGAATTTTTTTCTCAGATTATATTGTATGTTTTCTTACCTGATGTGGGAGTGTACTGGCACAACAGTGAATGTCGTAAGTCACTTCTGAATTAATTTGATTTTGGTTTTTTTTTTAATTTTGTTACAAGTCTTTTAAAGTTGTTTTTGCATTTAGTTCAGAGTATGAGTTCTTTTATCATGTCTTAATCATTCTCATTTGTTTAAAAAAAGCATTTGTCTTTTCTGTCAGTTTGCTATTTAAAATTCTATGAAAACATCTGCTAGTTTGGAATTTAAAGTTGCATTTTTCTGCATACAATAGAATCAGCATCAGTATGAAAAGAATTAAACAATTATTTTAATCTTTAATTTGGCTTGATGAGAATTAAATTATTTCATTTTATCTGAATTTGTAGAGATAAAAAGATGTCTAGTTAATTAAACAGCACGTTTTTACAAGATACGTAAGTATTGTTAGGTGAAGATAATTTCAGATCATTTATGAAGAGGATATTTGAAGATTGATTCAGTGTTTGAGTAATCATCATATATGTTTTCCAGTGGGTTGTATTTATATCACTGAATGAGCAGCTCCAGTGTGTTTTCTTAAAAATGCATTGTGAAAATCAGATGATTTGTAAACTTATAAACTAATGAATGAGAAGTGAAACACTTAAAATAAGTGTTTCAAGAAAAAAAATAGAAGTGTCTTATACAATTCAAAGTGGAAATAAGGTGGTTGGTGGTAATACTAAAAAAAGAATAATTGATGTAGAATAAAATTGTAATGCAGTGATGTTTCACCACTGGTTGAATTTTTGTCTAGTAAAACTTCTTTATTATAACTAAATTGGATATGCATGAAGAACAGTATTAATGTGTTTCAACTTACTAATAACAGTATTTCTATTACTGAGGTTTAGTTCGCCATCTTTCAATAGCAGAGAGTGCCTGGTGATATTCCTGAGAGTTTAGACAACTGCAGTGCAAGGCAGATTACTTTTAAAATTATGTGCAGAAGTAATAAGAATATTAAAGTTACAAAGTTAAGCACCAGAAGTTGCCTGTTCCAACCTTAATGTAGTCTTGTTGTACATATACATTATGATAATTCTGTTCCTTGTTATACTGAAAATCTGTTTCAGATTTTCTTATATGCAAGATTGTCATCTGTCTTTTTGCAGTTCTGTACTCCATTTCTTGTCTCTCACATACATTGAAAAGTTAAGTACCTTAAAGAAATACTATCTGATCATCTTGTAAAAAGCTGTATCACAAGTGATAGGCACTGAGGGATCAAATTAACACTGCATGAGAAACAGAGTTGTCAGCAAAATACTTTAGTTGTTGGTTTGTTTCTGTTTCTCTCCCTACAATTATGCTGGGGCCCAGACAGCAGCTACAGAACTGCTTGCAGCTTCCCAGTAGAAGAAATGGGCACTAAAAGTAACGTAAAAATTAGTTTGAGTAGTGTTGAAAAGATGCTTCCTGATGAGGTTCCCTGCAGGAACAGAGAGGAGGAATCACCAGTTCTGTAATTTCTATGTATTTTAAATTCTGCTTATAATGTGATGTCCTAGTGATTATACACACTGTATCCTGACATGTATCAGGATACAGTGTATACATTTGCGAGACTATTACTGTTTGCAGGGGAGAGAAGAGGGTTAGTTTTTTATTGTATGAACAAGTCACAAATTCTGAGGCTTTGTAGGTTTCAAAGTATTATCTCTGTTTTAAACCAAAGTAACTTTTAGCTGTCATAGTGTGGGCTGTTTTCAATGTAATGTGTGGCTCCTACCAAATTATTTTCTATGAATGTTTTCTGGTGCTACGAAACAAATAATTTAGCATGTATTTCTAAATATGCCTGGATTAGATGCCTCAGGTTTATGAGTTGCTGTTGGCACGTTCTCTTGGGTGACACCTTCCTGACATCCCATTCTTACCAGGTTGGCTGCTGTTTCTGCCATGGTCATTGCCAGAATTCTTTTGTAGAATTCCTACTATTCATGTATGAGTAGTTCATATAGCTCATATGTGAGCTATAGCTCATGCTATGGGTACCTCTAAATACTGTTATGTAAAGAGATAGATCTAGATCTATCTATCTATATATATATATATGCACACACACCTACACACATGCACAAGCACAAACACGTGTGTGTAAAGAAGCTGATTCTGAATTTTGGAATTATTGATGAAAGCAGCAGAAGTAAAATTTTTGGAATTATTGATGAAAGCAGCAGAAGTAAGGTAAGTAGAAGTAAGGTTCTTCAAAACCTATGTTTGCATTCTTGATACTTTTTATAGAAATTGTAAGACTCCTGTGAATCTTTAAAGACCATGTCATGGAGTCATTGAGAATTTCCTTCTGCACTTTTTATGACAACTGAAATCTATGGATGTATTCTTGGGTTCAACCCTGCAGATTCAGCATCTGGCTGATGGAAACAGAACGTTTTCACCAGAGGTTCTTGCACTTGGAATTGGTTTCCTTCTGTGGGTCTGTGTCAAAACCTGACTGAGCCTGTTTATTCAAGGCAATGATGTAAAGCCCATCTGTTCCTTGAAACTTTTCCCTGAAGGAGTGATCTAGAGTGTATTTATGTTCTCAGCTGTGGTTGTGCTTTTTCAAATACTTAGTTGATGCTTTCTGACTAACTGATGTTGGTTTTTTGGTGTGGTTTTTTTTTAAGGTATGCAGCATGGGTGTATTCTTAAAGCAAATTTTAAGAATGTTGCAGAACTTTCCTATCTTTTAACTTGTATAGACAGTGAAGAATTCATGTCCCTGTTTACTATGAATGGAGAAATAACATTGATGAACTGCTGCTGTTAAGAAGAATAGAGTGTAGAGAACCAACTGAGACTTGAGTTCTGTCTATGTGATGAAGCAAGGGGACATTCAAATTCCAGTCAATTTCCTTCATGAGCCTTTGTTGAGTGCTCTTGGGAAAAACTGTACAGTTACGTAATTAGCAAAATTAAGAATCATGGAACCTCTTTCTGGATGAAGAGATTGTGTTTGTCTGCAACATTATGACTTATTGTAAGTGGTTTAGGTTTACATTTCCATGAGAGGAAGAGAAATTATTACTAAAGTGCTTCAAGTGCAAAAATTTGCTCTTGCAGGATGTTTGAATAGTTTCTTTAAAGAAGATATTGAGGTGTGTCTATATGAGGAAGCTGTCACAAAATCAGTTATGTTATGATTTCAAAGTATAATAGCTATTCATCACTTAACTCCTTAAATGAACAATTTTGTTCTCTGCTACAGAGTCAGAATCACAGAGTGGTCAGGGTTGGAAGGGAGCTCTGAAGATGGTCTAGTCCAACCCCCTCGCTAGATCAGGATCACCTACAGTAGGTCACACAGGAACATGTCCAGATGAGTCTGGGATGTCTCCAGGGAAGGAGACTCCAAAACCTCTCTGGTCAACTTGTTCCAGTGCTCTGTTACCCTCACAGTAAAGAAGGTTTTCCTATGCTTAGCTTGAACCTTCTGTGCTCCAGTTTGTGCCCATTGCCCCTTGTCCTGTCATTTGGCACTGTTGAAAAGAGACTGGCCTCATTCTCTTGACACCCCCCTTTAGATATTTATACAAATCACCTTTCACAGTATGCTTGACTAAAAAACATACAAGTTACCTCCAGCCCCAACAAGGAATTAATATTTATGTAGGCAGTTAATGCAGAATACATGATAAAATTACATCATTAGCTTATTTTATATTCCACTAGCTGCCTTAAAAGCATCCTTAATACAAAGTGTAATATTACAATAGAGATGTGTTCCTACAGCTACTTTTATGTTGTATAGGGACTTAGAGCAAAATTTATTCCTTCTGAAAATATTTGTGAAAAAAGTTTAAAATTGCTGACAATATGATTCAGTTAGAGGTAGTAAGACCAGTATACTTTGGTGGAATCAAAGATGCCTGGAGGTATTTAAAAGACATGTGGATGCAGTGCTTAGGGACATGCGGAAGTAGCAGACTTGGCAGTTAGTGATTGGACTTTTGGTGGTCTTAAAGGTCTTTTCCAACCAAAAAGATTCTATGATTCTATGCTGGTCATGCAGATTTGCTTATTTTTACTTTTAAAATTAATTAATGGACTCATCTACTAATTAGCTTTACTCATTTGGCTAATATTAAGATGTTAATAACTAATGATGTTAAGAAAATGACAGGGTTAACAGTAGCTGGTATGTTTTGGATTAAGTTATAAGTCATAAATAACTGATTTTCAGTAATGCTAAAATCACATAATTACCTTTATTCTCTTGCATATTATGTGCATATGACAAAGCTAAATTCCCACATGTCATTGCTTATGTAACAGAGAAGTAAAATAAATGCCCAGAAGAACTAACCTATGCCCAGCAGCTTCTGAAAATAGCTGCTGTTCTACTGCCTTCTGGCTTTCTAACACAGTGATTTGATACACAAATATAGAAGCCTTCACATGAGAAAACTGGAAAATTATTGAGTGCATTGATCTCCTAAGTCACATGAAGACAGTAACATTGATTGTGTATTAATGTATTCAAATGTTACTCATTTTTACTTTTCATAATAATGTAATTTCAAATATTTTAAATTGCTTGTTTTGCACTTAATATCAACCAGCCAACTACTTTTGGTCTAAAACAAAAGCATGCATTATTTGTCAAGAACTTTGATTATAGTCTTTGATGATAGTAAGATATATTGTCTTAAAATGTATCTCTCTGCATTTTAAAAATATACTTTCTTTGATTTTACATTTTTTCTAAGAAAATAGAAAAACTAGAATTAGAGCTGCATGGAAGCAAACAGCGTTTGGAACAAGCCCAGCAGGATGTGGCAGGAGCCAGAGAGGAGTGCCTAAAAATGACAGAACTGTTGAGTAAATCTGAGCACCAACTGCACCTCACCAGGTACCCTTTATCCTATTACATGCTGTAGTACCAATTTCATTCTGCTAATTTTTTGCCACAGGCTTCCCCACAGTTGTTATAGCTACTTGCAACCATTGACTGCATGATCACCCTCAGCCATCTTAAAAGTGGAGATGTAAATAAGTGAGTTATGAACTACAAAGTGAGTTATGAGCTATAATCTATGAAAGAAAATTACTAGCCTGAAGAAAAGGCAGTGTTCAGCTCTGGTAATGAGGTGACATGCTTTTGGGCAGGAAAAAGAGGAGAGGTGAGTGCAGCTACGTTCTTTTTGTTGTTTCTGTGTTCAGTAGGACAAAAAAATTTTAAATGTCATTTGAGACTGTAGTGTACACTAGCACCATTAAGCAAAGGAGTTCTCAGATTAATAGCCTGATGTTTCTGCAGCAGAGTGACCGGGAACATATAAATTAACATAACTGTGTTAAGTTTCATTGAAGATTAAACAATCAAAAGGTAAGATTACCGTCTAGGAAAGGGACGTAAGCTCAAATATGTAAGGAGGGTGTTCAAGTCAGTTGCCTGGTGGAGATGTGGTACAATGCAATAAACCTTGTGGGACAGGAGACTTTGCCTGAGCTTATTTTATCCTTGGATGTAGCTCCCAAAGCCATTTACTATACTATTCATTGCACATGTCTAGAAAACACCAGAAGATAAACATGCCAAGTATTCATTGCAACTTGAGTTTTGGAAACCGCAGGAGTTTTCCTTTTGCCACAGAAAATGCTGTTGTCTGACTGTATGTAGGGTTTTGGTTGTGTGTGTTGGTTTTGTTTTATTCTGTCCCCCCATTCCCCATAAGACTGAACATCCAGAAACAAATCTGGTGGCTTTTACTGAGTCCTTAAGCTAAACAAGTTAATTTAAATTTTCTATGGGGGGGACGGGACATATGACACCATCAGAATTTTATTACTTCATAGAAGTGTGCATGTTTATCCAGGCTGTTTACTCTTTGGGCTTTGTGAGAATTCTGCCATTGAATAACTGGAAATAAAATAGAGCCTCACCTAAACTATTAAATGCAATGAATCACTTTTTTATTCAGCTACATTTCTGTGTAATTCAGAGCACGCTTGTTTAACAGATGGAAGAAAGTACCACTCTAACAGCCTGTATTTAGAGAAAAAATATGCTAGAGGTTAATGAACTTGAAAAAAGTTTTGGGTGAGTTGTTAAGATATCCAAAGTTTGGATTCAGCAGAACTTTATTAATAATGATTTGTTGTGATAGTTAACCAAATGGCTTACCACTCTCCTTTTAGCAAAAGGCTGATTATATGCAATAAAATTCTAGATATCTTGAAGGAAATCTGACTAGCCAATTTTAAAAAAAATTTTGCTTTTTAAATTCTCAACTTTTAAAAATTATGACTATTGCCTACTTTTACAAAGCCAGTTACATACAGCTGGATACCTAACATATAGATGATTCAGGTAGCTTTTCAATCTGTGGTCTCTGACTTGGGAAATTGCTGAGATGCAAATCAGTGAAGGCTGTGAACAGTATTTTGGGCAAGTAATGCTCTGTGCTGGCCCTGTTCTTGCACAGTGTCACAGACATCTGCTTTTTGAGACAGATGCTGAACTGCCACAGCTTCTTTGTCTGACCTAGTCCAGCTACTCTTCTGCGACATCATGATCTTAGATTGGATATTAGAAGAGACTTCTTCCCTTAAAGGGTTATGAAATACTGAAAGAGGCAGCCCAGGGAGGTGGTTGAATCACCATCCCTGGAGGTGTCGATGTGGTGCTTAGGGACATGGTTTAGCACTGGACTTGGTAAAGGTAGTTTCATGGTTGGACTCGACAATCTTAAAGGTCTGTTCCAACCAGAATGATTCTGTGATTTGGTGTAATCTTTATTTTACTTTTTATCCTTTGTGTTCATGTTACGGCCTGTGCTATATATCAGCATAATGTAAGTATGCTTATATGTAGTTACATGTTTTCTATGCTGACATCTAATTGTTAGAAAATTGTATACACTGAAGCATGGGAAATAGGTTCAAATCCTTCCCCTTGATACTCCTCAAATTCTGTAATAATTTGTTCTCTGTAGGTTTTTGTGTCCTCCTTGTCTTTGGAGTGTCTGTCTGCTTTCTAGTAGTACAGTAGGTGATGTTGCTTTCATGAGTGAAGAAGAGGGGAAGAGAAGATATGAGAGATCCATTGCTCCGGAACTGTTGTTACCTGTTGTCTTCATGTATTTGAGATGGGTGTGGCAGGGTTAGAGATGTTACTGCATAGTTTTTTTCCCCAAGTCACAGCAGAAAAGATCCTCTATTGAAATGAAGTTTTTCCTTAGCCTTTACTTTTTTTTCTCCTCTCAGATCAGTTCCACCCAGAACAGGTTTTCTGATTGAGTGAAGGTGTAAAAATTACATGTATCTAGTGGCATTAGTTTTCAGTTTTGAATTCAGTATGATTTCAATGGATGGGTATGTCCATAGTTGTTGCACTTGAACTTTCCTGGCTTATGGTCTGCCTTCTTTAATTCTTTCTACTTTTCACCTCAAATGGCAGCTGTGCCAGTCAAAGATACTCATTTGAAAGGTAGTGGTAATAGCAATCTTGTGGGGGGTTTATAGAATCAGTCGCTGTGGCACTTGCCAAGGAAAACAGATTTTAAGCTCTAGAGTCCTGCCTGTGGGAGGTTGCTGCAGAAATTGCACTGATTTAGTGCATCTCTTGGGTATTCTGGCCTTGGCCTTGCCTTCTGATTTCTCTCTTTTCAGGAGAGGACCAGCTGGTCCACTCCAAGTCTTCTTGCAATGCTGGACTTGAGGGAGTCCTGTACTGATGTCACATGGCTGTGGATAGTTCTTTCTGTTGCCTTGCATGACCTTTCTGGGAGGTACAGAAAGAATTATTTATTTTGTATGAATTAGGATATTACAAAGGAGAAAAGTTTTTTACTAAGCCACTGATTCTAATTTTGGATATTGCAAATAAATAGAATAAAACAAATATGAGAACTTTGAATTGTAATGTATGAAAATGAGATGGTATAATATTGTATGAATGGATTAAATGAGAAGGGGCATAAAGTCTGTAACTTAATGAGAAGTTTTGCTCTGCAGAACTGCACTCTTCTCCAGGAGTCCCACTTTTGCTTTATCCTAGTTTTCAGACACTGATTGATTACCAACTAAACAGTTTCTGAGTTAACAAAATGTACTTGTTAAAAATCAAGAAAAAGGTTGCAATTAGCTATTCTAAACCATTGCCACGGAGTTTAAATTTGCCTTTTCCTGTCACCTTTCTTCCTGGAGCAATATGTTGCTTAGAAACCCTTGCTATTAGCATGCATTTCCGGTTATTGACTCCAGTCAGTGGTTCTAATTTGAATGTATTCAAATGTCTGGGAAAATACAGAACTTTTGCTGTGTAGTTTAGATTGTCAGTCATGTAACTTTTCAGATCTCACCCTGCTGTGACACTGACTGTGCTTGTTTAAAGTTGTTGGGTTTTTTAACCTTAGTTTCAGCTTTGTGATTCTTTGCATTAGAGTTAACCTTAGTAGGAGAATCTTATGAAAGTACTTCTGAAGTCAATGTTAAATTGCCTGGTCAGTATTACATTGCCATTACTTTGGAATCTTGCTAGTGAACCTTTTCTGAATCTATTCCTCAGTGAGCAGAAAACATACAGATCTATTGTTCATGAGCAAATAATGGTTAAAAGCATGTCAGAATGTTAGTGGAAAAGATCACATAAAAGATGCAAGATGTTAACAGATTGCCCAGATTTTAGCTTGTCATCTAATTTAATAAAATTTTTTGCTAATGGAATTGTCATGAAAAATCTTTCCTTTTTGTTGCAAAGCATAGCTGAAGCTATTGTTCCAGTTGCAGTCAGATGTAGATCCCGTTTGCATAAATGCTAAAGCAGTTAAATAACTCTAAAGAAGTGAGGGGAATTGCTGAATTTAAAAATTGTACATTTTCCATGCCATCATTCATTTTGTCAGGCATGGAGTTAAGTAGATAGCTCGAGATATATTGACTGAACTGTCCTCTCAAATTTGTTGGGAGAGGTAATTGAATGGAATTTACACAGATTTAATTTAATTTAGTTTTTTACTATTCTTGTTTGCTTGTATGAAACATTCCAAGGAGTAATGAATGTCAGCTTGTAGGTAGGGAAAAATTACAAAATGTTAGAAGAACCCATGCTTCCAGGTTCAGGTAGCCTACCAAGCTACCTTGAATACCTGTGTCAGTCTCTTGAAGGATAAAAGTTTATATTACAGTGAGGACAGTGGATGTTGTTCTTGGTTATTTTTTCCCCCATTATGGGATATTTCCTTTCTCCCTTATTTTTGAAAATGATACCATCTCTAGAAAACAGCATCTCAGAGATAGTGGCATTTGAGGAGTACATGCTATAGCCTTCCTCCTGTGCATCAGTCCTTCTTGTTAGTTTCAATGACTCCATTGATACTAATTTGTGTTACATGTATAATAAATGAAGTACACACCTTCAGGTTTCTTTAGCTTTATTTAGTCACTGAAGCTTTGGTGCTGAGCTGGATGTCATCACCAGCATTCATCAATAGAACTGCAGCATGCCTCAGACATTGATTTCCCTGTTTAAGCTATACCATGATAAAATATAAACTAACTTTTTCATTTATAGAAGGTGGTTATACTTAAGCTTCTAGGGGATTGCATGATACTTTGTATTCTCTCTTTTTTTTTTTTTTTTCCCCTGTAGTATCTGTTAGCAGCACAATTGCTGTCATACTTTTTATAACAATTTTATCACATCAGAAAGAGTTCATTGTCTGTGGTGGAAATTAGGTAACATTGGAATAAATACTATTACTAATATTAAATTACTGAGATATATTTTGTGTTCCCAGACTTACTGACTGATGAAAGGACCAATGACACTCAAATTGGGGGGAAGGAGAGGGGAGAAAAACAAATGAGGTTTCAGCAGTGATTGATTTCTGTTTATATAAATATATA